TTTTTTTTAAAGTGTTAACATTATACTATTATTTAAAAAATTAATTTTTTTTTTTTTTTTCAGGAATGTAATATAATTGTAATTGTATATATTTTTTTTATCTATTTTTATTTTTTTTTTGGCTGAAAAGTAAAATTTGTCAGAATTTCTACATTTCTGACTAATCCCCTTACCCATACTTTTTAACTTCTCTTCTATAGTTTATTTATAACATTTATATAAAACATTTATAAAAAGATGTCATAACACAGAGATAAAATTTTCAATTAACGTATAAACATAAGTATATGTTTATGTGCAATTTTATTATTTATAACAGAATCTCTGCCCCCAATACTGCTGTCATTACTTTCATCTCACCAATAATTTGTATAATATAATATAAATTTATAAAATACATTTGTAAAAAATATGTCTTTAAGAACTTCATAAGGATCACATTTTCACTTAAACGTGGTACTGTATATGTACAATTTTATTATTTATAACAACAGAATCTGTCCCCGTATTGCTGTCATTACCATCACACAAGACTTTGTATAATAATATAAAATACAATTTAAAAAAACTTAATAAAGAGTTTTCAACCAACTTACTGTATATGTACAATTTGTGATATTTATAAAATAATCTGTCCCCAATACTGATCACACCAAGAATTTGAGTATCATTCCATTCTGTTCTATTCTACATATGATGGAAATGACAAGTGACAGGGTCAGAAATGTCATTAATATTAAGATTTTAAACTTCATTTGAGGTTTACTATAGTGTATATATAAGGTTAATTATAGTATATATTTATTCAGAAACAATCTTTTTTTCCCCTGTAATTCGTAGTTACTTGTCTGCTAAGTAACATCATGTGTTAACATGCACAAAAGTAAAACTACCATCAATAACAAAAATCCAGACCATAGCACTTTTTAACACTAGTACAAGTGCTCACACACTTCTCACCTGTTTGTTTCAGTCGCTTCAGTGATGGAAGAGAAGCCGAAAGCAATCAGTTTCCTGGGTTTGAGTGTGGATGAGGGAGGCGCTGTGGCGGGA